TGTAGTTCAAAACTTTAGAATAACCCATTTGCTAACGATCGTTGGATTAACCGTTTTCTGGTGTTTTTGATGAACGCGCTTTCTAACGACATTAAAACGACATAACTTCGAATTTCTTTCTTTTTCTAGACTCGTTTAAAAACGCCACGTCAAAAAAGCGTCTTTATATGAAATAAACGCGTTTCAACGATCATTTTAACATGGTTACAAAACGCGTTCAATAAAAACGCCAGGAGACGGTTAATCCAACGATCGTTAGCAAATGGGTTATTCTAAAGTTCTGAACGACAAAAAACGCGTTTAAACGACTCTTTTAACGATAGTTCGCTAACGCGTTCGGAAAAACGAGTTCTCCGTGTCGTTTGTAACGATTTTTTTTCGCCTGGGTATGTGTGATTTATCTTTCCAAAATAACTTTTAAAGGTCGATAAATTGAAAAGCTCATATTTCTTAAAACCTGAAAAACGGCTTATTTTTTAAAACATGAGGGTGAATGTCTCATGTACTGCTTTTGGTAATTTTGAAACATTTTTATTCTTGTTCTACGTGAAAAACAGTATTTAAAAAATATACTTTTGATGTTATTCAAATATCATATTACCCTGAAAATTGTTGATCTTTCGCTAATAGTAATGGTTCTGGATTCATCTCTTATCTAGAAAGACTTCAAGAATTTGGCAGAGAGGGAAGAGTGATTTTCACTATTGGCGAAAGACAAACAATTTTCAGGGTCATATGGCAGTCAGTAATTTCAAGAAATAGTTTTTATATTTAAGAAACTCATCTTACTGGTAATCTACGAAACTTTTTTTCGTAATTTTTGATCTATAAACATTTTTATCAAACTCTTTACAGACTTTTTTGAGGTAAAAATACATACGCTCTGAAAAAGTCTTTCTTTAATCCTTCGAATACGGGAGACACGAATTCGCGTCCTAAGATTTTGCGCTCTGAATAGCTTCATATATATTACATATCAATTGTTCAATAGAATGAATGACCCAGTTTTGTCTGTTGGTCTCAAATATGTTATTAGTTTTGCTTGAAAATATATAGGGGGTGAAAAGGTCGTAAGATGAGTGTTATATGTTTCCATGATGATTATGATGTACATTCAATGCAAATACTATAGTAAAAAGAGCGACCCTTAGCTCATCAGCCTCGCTCTTCCACATATGTTTCAAACGTGGGTGCTCATCTTCAATGAATTTCTAGAACCACACAATAGTTAACCTTCATACTTTGGCTGGATAGTCTACAAACACTGTAGAGTCTATGATGCGAATTTGAAATCAAAATGATGCTCCTAGACGGAATTAAGAATTCTTTTCCAAGGATCTCAAATTTTCAACCAGAAAATGCCAATCTCGCCTGTAAAATAGTTGTATTTCACTAACTCCTAACAGCCACCGCACGAAATTCATATCGTCGATAGAGTAGAGTCGTGGCTGAATTTTTGTAAAAAGAAAAACTTTTCATCTCTCTCAGGTCAGCAGCTATTGATATTTTACGGAAAAGAAGTAAATCGCTTATATCTCATGTACCATCTAGTAAAAGAGGTCCAAAATTGGTGGATGATCAGCATTCTACAAGAGCTATGATCACACAAAATTAGAAATTCCTAGCTATCATGGTTCTCGAGTTACAGAGGTGTCGCTACTTTTGCGGAAAAAATAATCCCGTACTCAAAGGGTTAATAAACTCAGTATTTTTATTGAACTTTGAATAGCTAATTTTGATTAGGATCCATTACATTGCTTTACAACATTTTAGAATAACTTTTGAAAAAAAACTAAAAGCATTTCAATCTGGAGAACCATCGGGAGGTCCAGAAAATGTTTGATAACCTAAGGCAAATGAAGAATCTAAAATACCAATAACAGCATTCTAAGAACATCTAACTGAACAGAATGAAAAATTGTTTTGCTCATACGCTTCTATTTTTGTTATGCGTTCGAATATTATAATATTTATTTATGTTCATATTGAGTTTTCTTTCTCTTGATAAATTCTCATTCTCATAGTAATTCAGATCTTTTTATTATTTATAATAAATGAAAATATAACAAAAAAATTAATAAGTATATTATAAATATTATATTAAAAAACAAACCAGAAGTGGATGAGATATGGAGAAACAGCAATTATATGATATGCCTACGGGAATTATGGGTAAGGAATTGTGCTGCAGTTATTACTGTATGTTAAGGATTGCCAGAAGTGCGAATTATAATCACTTATGCCTTTATACGAGAATTATTCTGTTTGTTATAGAAATAATTAATGGACAATCTAAAAGAAACTAACTATACTTAATCCATTATGTACTTCAAATAAATATGCTGCAGACTAAACTACGAACTTCCAACAAAGCTTGCAAATATTCTCATACTTCCCAGGAGAAAAAGCGTCATTTTTCTATTACTATAACTGCCCTTTCTCGATTTTTAAGCATAATTTCAGTGATGCACACGAAAAATGTCTGTTAACAGATCTGAATTCTCCTGAATAAAGTATAGCTTCTTTCAGATGAATCATAATTTCTATTTCTGGCTTTTCTTACAACAAAATTCCTATCCATAATTCTAGCAGGCATATCATGTAATTGCCGTTTCTCCATATCTCTTCCACTTCTGGTTTATTATGATTTTTTTTGTTATATTTTCATTTATTATGAATAATAAAAAGATCTGAATTACTGATGTAAGTACTATGAGAATGAGAATTTATCAAGAGAAAGAAAACTCAATATGAACATAAATATAATGGTAACAAAAAATAGTTTAATCGATCACCGTCTGTCTATTTTCGTTTATAGTGGAAAAATCTGATGAACAGTGAATTTATGAGAGAAAGTCTATTTTTACACGCTTGAAAATAAGAGATATATAAAAAATCTCTTAGAATAAATATCTTGTTTAAGAAGTCAACTATTTCTATGAATCTAAAAAAAATTAGAACACATTTTTATGTATGGCGTAACTGGTTAATTTGATTGTCTAACAGAGATTTTCATATTCTTGTATATCAAGCTGACCTTGCTAATCAAACAGCTGTTATCTGCAATTTACTAATTCTTCATCACACAACTAATTTCATAATATTTTTAATTATTTACATCTTGTTTGATGAATATCAAAAAAAGTTCCTGTCTAGTAAATTCTAAATTTTTATTTTATTTGCTTTAGGTCAAAAAGGCTAGTACAAACTTTTAACATTTTGTTTTCCAATAATTTCATTATAGTATGTATAATAGAAAAATCATTTATAGTATAATCGTATATACAGATCAAAATATAACGTATTGTTACTTTGTGTATATGGATGAAATAGATGATTGTTAGATCTCTATTTTATGATAACGTAACAAAAACTGACACTACTATTGAACGACAAGGGAAGAAAAAAGAACGAATTCATACGCTCAAACTAGCGTTACTAATTTGTTTTGGGAATTCGTGTCATCATCTTTTTTTTTCACTCAACTCTAACCGTGCGATATAAATCTTTCTCTCTCTCTCTCTCTCTCTCTCTCTCTCTCTTTCTCTGTATGTATGTATGTACGAATATATGTATGCCTGGTATAAAAAATCATTGTAACATAAATCTGGATGTTATATCTCTACATATGATCTTATTTGTTTTCACTAATTTTAATATTTTCAAACAGATAGTAACAAAACAAAGAAAGACAAAGAGTTTTATGATTGAAACAGATAGATAATAAGAAATTGGCTTTAAAAACATAATATGAATTTGATCTTTTATCTATCTACAAAACGTTTTCTACAAAGAATCATTACTCTTAATAGAAGACCTCTTTTAAAACTTCTTTTTCGACTATTTTCTCCTAGTTGAAGAAGAACTATTGATGAATAAAGAATTCTTTATTACATCATATGGTTAAAATTAATGGTATAGTATTTTATAACTCTCTTTAATTTCCTACACAAAACTTGTTTCGTTTGTCTCATCATGTTTCTAAAACGTTTTTTAATTGCACCATGGGATTCCTTAAAGACTATCGATCCATCAATCAATGGTAAAACGATTCCTATCACTTATTTAATATGTGATGTATAAAGCAAAAAGATCGAAAAATCACGAAGAACAGAAAAGAAAGAGGAAAAAAAAAATGTTAATTTCATAATTCTTGTTCACATAATAAAAATATTACATACGTATAGAGATAAAAAGAAAATATTTATATACTTACATATAATATTTATATTTATTTTTTCATCAGTCACTGTCCTATTCAATTTAGATATTATCAATTGTTAAGTTTTTTTTTTTTTTTTTATTCTTAGAATAAACGCAAAAAAAAAAGAAAAGAGCATAACAATTTGTTGATTGTTGTTTGAACATTGTGAACAAGTAGTTCATCTACAAAACACTTAAAAAAATATATATCTATATGAAAAAAGAGAGGAAGAGGTATCAGAAAAAAGAAGAAAAGAAGTGCTTTTTGTCTTTAGGGTGAACGAACACAACACACATCTTCATCATAATTGTTCATATTATTCAATAAAGAAACGTGTTTTGATGTATAGACGTCACACTATTTGTGTCAATTTTTACGGGACATCTCATCCTTGTCGTCATCATCATCATTAAAATTATCCATATCTGTTGTACTATTAATTTCTTGTTCACACACATACACACACACACACACAAACATATACAAATCGAAAAGAAGAAGAAAAAAAGATCGTATATTTTATCACATACGCCTTGCAGTTACTCTCTATTCATTAATTCAACCGTTACGTATAGATGAAGAAGAAATGTTTGTCGGAAGAATATTAATTAGTCCCATATACACACGTTAAACAGTCCTATTTAAACGATCTATTATGAATCAAAAGTATTGTTGGATTTATTAGTTACTTAACTCTACTCTACATCAACGAATAATCCTATGTTTATCAAACTAAAAATATGTTTAATTTTTTGGTTTTTAAAACAGATATTCGGTGAAATTATTCAAACAGTCGATGTTTTACAAGGTTAGTTCAATTTTCTAAAATTCTTTTCTTCTCTTTTTTTCTATTTATTTTTTAGAATAAGTTTTTTTTTCAATTTAATAGGAGGAAAAATTTCACTAATATGTAATGTGACCAGTAAATCTGATTTAGATCAAGTAAGTAGGAGAATTTAATTTTTGTACAGTAATGTACACAAAAAATTTTCTTTCCGCATTAAATACAAGTTGAAACGTGCTCTTCCGGATGGTATCATAAGTTCTATAGAAAAAGTGATGAAATAATCCAACTGTTCGGACATTCAATACTATGTACATCAGTCATCACAACATTATTTATAAGAATAAATCAATATACAATAGACCATTCCTCTTACAAAAGAAAGTTGAATATGGTAAAAAAATTGACCTTATTTTGTATCATGAAATGAGATTTTGATTAAAGGATTTCAAATAGTTTTTTTAGTATTATGGAGACAAAATGTGTATTCCATCCTTTGTTTTTTGAAACTTAAGCTTTTCAAGATATTTAAAGCTAACAGACAATATAACGATAACTTATTGATTCATTCACTCTCTCTCTATAATCATTTTTTCTTTTAAAACTTTTTTTCAAATTTACATTTTTTTTAAAAATTCTATAAAATTGTGTTTATTATTTTATTTTAAGGTAATGTGGTTAAAAATTGGCAAACCACATAATCCAGAAGTACTCACGTATAAAGATACTATTTATTTACCATCAAAAATTATCCTTGATATTCGACGTATGACTTCGATATCAAATGGCAATTTAACCGATTTTTATATTATTGTACTAACACTTATTCGTGCACATGTTGATGATGAAGGACGTTATTTATGTATTAAACAAAAACAAGTGTTTGCCGTTTATGAATTACAGATTATAGGTAAATGAGTAAATAAACTATCTATTAAATAATTTGTTTATACAATTTATTGGACTAACCATTATTCTACATTATACTTTTGTTTTTACAAGTTCCACCAGAATTTATTGATGATGGTCAATCGAATCAACGAATTGTTCATGAAGGTGCATCATTATTGTTAACATGTCATGTACATGGTCGACCAAAACCAAACGTTACATGGTATTATCAAAGTTTTGATGGACAATTTCAATTTTGTAAGTTTATTATCATTCAATTAATCGTATTTTCAGTTTTTGCCACCAAACTATTATGAATAAATCTGATTTTTGTTCTATTTGAAGTTTGTCAATGTTTGAATATATGCATGCAAAAAGAAGAAAAAAAAAAGGTTATAAGAATCGTTCTGTTCTATAGAACTCGGCAAGATCTGAAAGATTATTTCTAATCAGCATCAAATTCTACCGATTTATTTTTTCAGTAATACACACATAAGGACAGTATAAAAATCTATTTAGCAATTAATTTATAGCGGTAAAAAAAAAGAAGAAGAAAACTTTAGATTTTCATGTTGCTTTTGATCTAATAATATTAATAAAATAGGCGAAAACATTTTTATTTGTTATCTACTAATTGGCCTACGCGTTAGCTCAATATATACATATAAATTATTAGTGCCATCCTCCTGTCGGCATTAAAAGTAATAAATATTAAATATTTATTATTATCTTCCAGCTATTGTCTTATTGCATGACTTTCTTGCATTCTTCATTTTTTTTCTGTTTCTTTCTCAAGTTTCTCGGTACTAATGTGTGTAAGCGTGAAAAAGAAGATAGAAGAACAAGTGTCTTTCACACAGTTGTTTGCTAGTATAACAGAAATAAGAAAAAAAAAAAGAACAAATGCATAACATTTTTTTGCTCAATTTGATTTAAAAAGAAAATTGACAAGACCAAGAGCTAACAAAAAGAGAAAAAAAGTAAAACTAAATACAATGAGCAAGAATGATGGAGGTGTAAAGAGGTTATATCATTAGACTTCAATAACAGTTAAATAAAAAATACAATTTCTTAATAAAATTATATTCAAAACAGATCATAGTCGGAAAACTTTTCTAATCAGAAATAACTCTGTGAAGAGATAAAGTCTAAGTGTAATCGTTGCTCATTGGCTTTCTAAAACTTCTTCTTGCACTATCAGATCATTTTTTGTAATTTAATCAAAAAATTTTCGATAAGTTTGACATCGAAGTCAGTGCATTTTTCATCTAACTTTAGTGCAAGATGGTAATTGTGTCGAAGAATCCTGTGCATTAAATCTTTACAATTTTACTAGACACGATCCATATATTATTGAATGTGTAGCCGATAATGGAAAATCTTCTAGAATATCGAAAAGATACAATATTGATGTACATTGTAAGTATAGAATTCTTGAAACTTTTCTTATATGAAAAAATAACAACATACTGTTCTGCTATTGTTGTTAGCCTTAATTTAACAAAAGTCTATTTTTTAGATCCTCCAACTTTGACAACAATCATTCGAACATTTGGTCGTTCTACATCAATCGATGTCCTTTTGCAGTGTACAAGCGAAGCAAATCCACCAGGTTCAGTTTATTGGTTATATAGTGATGGTGAAGTGATTGAGTCTGAACACCATGTTTATACAATTAAAAATGAACATCGATGGCCAAATAGTTCATCGATATTATCTTTTACCGTTGTAGGTTATTAGTTAAAACGTTCATATTTATTTTGCTTATAACTTTATCTTATTTAGCATCAAAATAATCCTATTTCACATTCATACTATTGTCGATCGAATAATTCACGCGGTACTGCTCAAGAACTAATCAATATTTCAGGTTTGTTACTTTAAATAGTCTTTGTTACACTTCTTTATAATAAAAAATAAACACTTTTAGATTTTATCAAATTCAGTTCACTATCAAATAATTTTCCGTTATATTCTACAACTTTTGAAATACCAACAAAAATTAGACAAAACAGAAAAAATCGAACAAGATCAGGATCATACAGTATGTCAATAAAATTGATTTAATTTAATATATTAAAATATTTATATATTTATTTTAGATAGAACGGATCATGGGAAATCTATCAAATATTCTCAACCTGTACAAACAGTTAATTCGTTAGCGTATACCTGCTGGCACTTTCATTTTACAATTTCTAACTCTTTATGGATATTTTTTTTCAAATTTTTTTTTTAATATGTTTCTAATAACTTAACAATGATAAACATTTCTTTTTTTACATTTGTATATTTCACTAAAAAAAAAGACGTCTAGAATGTATTCAAAAATATTACAATGCTGTTCGTATCTGATGAAGTGTATGACGATGAAGATACAATCTTTTACTCAATGTTCAAGCGAGTAGATCTTTGGCAAACAGAAGAAATTCAAGTATGTCTTTCACTTTTTTATTTGAATTATTAAAAAATTAATATGTCCAAAGGATCTATTCAACTAAATATAATATTTTCTTGGTAATGTGTTAGCAATTTCTGATATCGATATCATATATCGAGAGTGATTTTCATTATAATTTTATAACTTTTAACTGTCAACTCTTTCTTACAAGGCTATACATCTAGAACAGTCTAAAATCTGATAAGAATAATGTTTCAGTATTTACGCAACAAAAATTCGGTTGAATTAGAATAGACACACATATGAACAATCGTATAAACGCATTTTAGATAGCACCAAAATAAACGAGATCGTTAAAAACAAAAGAAAATGTTTTACTATGCAGAAAAAAGAAAAAAACTTCGTCATTTTCATCATGATAATAATCTTATAGTGTAATCACTGGTCTGAGATGGATGAGTATCTTTTGATTACAATCTCAATTATACAAAAAAAAACTTCAGTTGAATTTAGCTTTCATTGGGCTTCTCACTAACAGTTAAAAAAATAAATTATGATTTGCCATTGGAATTACATTCTTCACAGTTCTTTTTACGAGAATGATTCGGTGGTAATGGAACATCTAAAGCTGGATTACCGTCAAAGAAACCGTGTGGCAATAGGCGAAAACCAGTAGTTTCAACAGGCATCACTGGCCAATCTTCTGGACGAATAACATGTGTACATCCAAATGTATACCATGTCACGAGATCACTGTCAATAAGTGATTTGTCTTTATTTGCTTCACTGTACTTTGACAGTCCAGTGTCTTCACATTTTTGATTTGGATAAAGACCTGCCGCATACATTTCATTTGGATCATATACAGTACCCCATAAATGGTACCTTGTGAAGGCACCACGTTTGTATTGATGTGAATTTTCTAAACATAACGGAAAAACGTTTCCCATTGGAGCAAGTTTATAGGCAACCGGTTGTTCGACTTGATTTAAAACTGCTGAGTTGACAATTTTCCAGAATCTTGATGTTTTCGATTCAATTGTTCGTCGTGCCTGACCAACTGTTGACAAAATAGTTTCTTTGGCCGTCCATGCATTACCAATTAGATTGTCTTTTCCTGGAGGTAAAGGTTCACAATTAACTTCGACAAGAGAATTTTTCAAACCATCTAACATCCAGTCAATTCGAACATTGAAGAAATGCTGATGATATGGACCGTAAGTACCAGGAGCCACTAAACCACCAGATACAGGCGTTTTTCCTGACCCAATTGCTCCTAAAGAAGAAAACCATGAAAACGAATAGAAATGTTACACAATTAACAGAATAAAAATATACCTGGAGCAATAATCCCCGTGAGTTTAACCTCATAGTTAAGTGATCCATCTTGATTTAGGTACCAATACATGGCATACTCATAATTACCAACTGTTGCAACTGTGCTGATTACTAAACGTCGTGATCGTCGCACTTGTGTTCGTCCTTCAACAAATTCTGTATGCTTCCAAAGTAGACCACCATCTTCTTCATGCATACAAATGGCGTTTTTTAATAGAAGAGGTTGTCCTTGGTTATTATTCACAATAACATCAAAATAATGTATTTCACCAAGACAATCACATCCAAGTACTAGACTATTAACCAGTAATCCCAAACCGGCTTCGCCCACATCAAAAACATTTTTAAAAGAATGTGTAGGACTTGCATCGCCATAAGGAACATACCTAGAAGAGAAAAATAGATGATAAACTCGGTACGCTGAAAATTTTCGCTTACATTTCACACATGGCTGCTCGATAAATAATCGATCGCCATTTGTCTTTATCAAAATATTCGATGCAATGAAGAACAAGACCTAAATATTAATATTTGAAAGTTTTTGGATATGACATTATTTGATCCTCATATTCATTAAAGTTACTTTCTCGAACGTTAAATCCTATTCTGAATCGCCATTTTTGCCATGTTACTTGATAACCATCTACCTTAAAGCTTGGTCCCTCCGGCTGAGTTATAACAAGGGGTTTCAAATCGTTCCGTAGACCATTAGGAAAGTATGGTACATTGTTTGATGATGTAATGTTTTCCGGATTAAAATTTGCTGTATGTGTCGGCACTGGTACTACATAATAATCTTCAACTTCAACGATCATATCATCTAAATCCACTGTAATTACCAAACCCTTGAAACAAAAACGTCTCATTATTTACTGTTTATTTGACTATTGCAATACTCACTTCAACTGGATGCGCATAATAATTATCTTCTTTCCCATGGCTAACTGCTACTAATGGTCTAAATATTCGTCGTTTACTTGGCTCATCTGATAAATCACGATAACCGGCAGCAAATGGATAAAATACAATATTATTAATTTCTAAATTTCGTTTTGCAATAGCAGCAAGAAAATTTTTATCATTCCGTAGTACAGTATCAGCTACAATCATTTCATCAAATGTTAAACTTGGCTGAACATCGGTAAGTTCAAGTGTATTTTTGATTGTCTCTTTCGTTAGATCGATAATTATTTCTAAAGTCGTATGTTTCACAGGATCACGAATGAACATAGTCACTTGCCGAGGAATCTCGTCATCTGGTTGTATATTTAGAACAACATTTTTATCACTTGGTTCTAACAGTATAACTGTAATTATACGCAAATACTTTTGGAAGTAGGGTGATTTCTTGAGTATTTTTGTTGCAAGATTAATCTCATTTGCTGTGAGTGGATCTAACGGATGTAAAACCGGTGGTGAAAATATTTCTTGTGGTGCTGCTTTCTTCTCTTCTACTACTTCTTTTGGATGAGTTGGCAATCTTGATGGATGAGCTGCAAGCTCGTCTGAAGCCGGATCGTGATTAACAGGCATTATCTACAGAAGCAAAAAAAACATCCAAAAATCATGGTAAAATATTTTTACGAAATAATGCTATTTTAGTTTCGATTTAATCTTCATTTTAATCTTAAAAAATTTCGCTGGAACTTATCCACATTTATGAGCATTGCTAAGCTTCAAAATATCATCATACCTTCCGTCATCAGACAGTAAAATAATACCAGTATCCTGGTATTAGGTTGACTCCAAGTCTGACGTCAAATCGTTCGTATGTATAGAGTCTCTTTCGCCAAGGTCTAATCCCGACCCTCCGTCGGAACTAACTATTTTCGACAAAAATGTCGATATTAATAAAGAGAAAATTTTAATCTAAAAATAGTCTCAAATCTCCTCTCTCAAACGTACTAAGTCATAAATCCAGAATGAGCCCATTTGAGTGTTTTTAAACAAGATCTTTGGAACCTTATATGGATAAAACTGTGAGATAATGCTGTTTTAAGGAAAAATAACATTCGCGCAGAAACATATATATGCGGCAAATGTGCGCTCGTATGTCCATCAGTATTCTCTGTGGTGAACAGGGTTTTGAATTTTCTAAAAATTTCTGTCAAATTAAGTGCTGGTGAGCTCGGATTAACTTTAACTTAATGGTAAGATTTAGCTCTATCGAGTAACAGAACGCGATTCTTGAATTAAGATCTAGCTTTTTAACGAGAAAGAAATTTCTTGCTATTGAGATCAACTCAGAGTTGGAATCGATTTAACCAGTTTAACCGGTTTCAACTTTGGATCAACCTCCAACTTTTTAGATGTTCGGTAAATTTTAACAACCCTTTCCCCCGATGTTCGAGTGGCATCTTGTGAATACTAGTAGATGGATTCGTGAAAGTCCTACCATAGCTATTTTTAGACAGAAATAACTAACTTCTCCTAAAGATTTTGTCCAAATTGGAATACAAATGACTAAAATCGCTTTCTGACAAGGAGCGAATAAAAAAGATACTACATATTGCAAGCTTCCTGAATAGTGTGATATCAAAAAGTATATTTTAAAAATTAGAAGTAAAAAATAAAGTATTTGTCAAAAACAAATTTTTAAAGAAAGGCTTTACTGACCACTATGTCTGAAGAAATCAAAAGTAATATGTACATTAAGTTTCTCGTCTCCTATTTGATGAATTTTATAAACATACCCTGAAGGCAGCAAAGTAGCTCAAGAAAACAAAAAGCAAAATTTTTGAAAAAATTGAATCCAAAGAGTTAACTCATAGTCTTTACGAAATTAAAGTATTTTCCCCTTTTAATCAAATCTTATCTATTTCGTATCAGCCAAGTGTTGCTCAACTACTATTTTAAACCGACAAAAGAATAACAAGAGATATTCTTTCCGATCATGTAAAGTGTCAGAAGTTTTCTTTGACAGATTCGGAGTGTACGTCTTCTATCTTATGCACGCGAAGGTTAATTTTGATCAACTAATGAATAATATTAACGATCGAATACTGGATCTGTTTAAAAATGTATTTGTGATTAAATTTTGACCTCCAAAAATGGGAAGGAACATAGCCAAATATCAGGCCAAAATATATTAATAGTAAAAGTTACTTCTTGAGTTTAAAAAATTTCAAATACGTGGTAGTTTCCGAAAAAATACCCTTATTCCATGTCGTGTCGCCTTTTCTTTCTATAAGACAAAAGCAGACTGTTCGAAGGCCAATCTTAAGTAGTTAAACATTTTAGTCTTGCTATTCATTATTCTGTCAGAAAAATTAGCTTAAGACTTTATTTTCTCAGTAACAGACAACAAGTATTTTCTTTCTAACGTGGCTAGTTTTATTTATCCTCAAAACTTAGTTAACAATGAATGAATAATTAATTCTATACTTCATAAGATCCTAATTTCCTGTTACATATCGGAAGTATTAAAACGGAGATTTGATATACTATACCTTGTACACAATGAGTGAAGTGATGTTTAAGTCAACTGATTTCAAACGAAATTCTCACGTGGTTATTAATCTATGTAGCTAGAGAGTACTAATAAGAAAAAACAAAAAAAAGATATTTTTCTGTTGTTTCTCTTGGGGTTTTTTTTTCTATCATGTGAAGAAACAGCAGCACAACGAGGTATAGTTATACTTATCTCAAAGACAAATAAGAGTAAAAATAACATTTCTTTTTTTCTTCTTTTTATATCTACTTGTTCTATTTCTCACAGCAAATAGGAGAAGAAAAAAGTAAATGTTACAATATGATAATAAACTTTGGGCAGAGAAAATAATTCGGTAACTCAATGTCCATTAATATACAAATTATCAAAAACTATTCCCTGAACTAGGACTCTTTTGCATTTTTAATAGTCCACAAAATTAATTATTTGTCGCTTCATTAAACAAACACATTTTAACACATACCGACTGTTAAGCGAACTAGCAGATAAGACTGATCATATTTTTTATCATCATATATTTAGATTTCACGTGGACATGAGAAGAAAAAAAAATCGTGCATCATTCAATTTCGAAGTTAGAATTTTTATCATTTATCTAGCTACCAAGTAAGTCTATAAGATAAATCTTACAATATATACGAATTTACAACGTAATAGTGTTCGCTTTTAAACATCTATAACGTCAGCTACTAATATAGTTTTATTATTATATAGCAAAAGACTTATTTTTAGTTTAAGAAAGAATTATAATTTATTCTTTATTTGAAAACATAATTTTAATGTGTCAGAAAATATTAATATCTTATAGTATGCTTTTTAAGTGTTGTTGCATGCTTGAAAAAAATAAAATTATTTTTAAAAAACTAATGAGAAATCTTTTAATCTCATGAATAAAAGTCTATAAAATACAAAAGATTCAATTTTTTCATGGTAGTAGGATATTACACTACAACTTTCTTAGCTAAAAAATCTATCTGTTTCATGCACAAAATCAATCAGTTTTCTACACACGCTGTTTCATCAAAAAAAATTTTCGATTCATTAAAAGAAGAAAAGAGTTTAATATATATTCATTCAATTTGTCGTTAAAAGATTTTTGCAAAAATATATACATTCTAAGGGTATATATAGTAGAGACAATGGTTTCTCATATATTCGTGTTTATGAATGGAGATAATATCTAAATCATTCTTATATAGAGATGAAGAAAATATGTGTGCTCACATAACGATAATAAATGTTTCCTAGAGATGTCTAGGGCGTTTTGACATTACAACAACTGTCAATATGTGCCAAATCAGTTCATATAAGACAAGAACGAAAATGTTGCATATTTTACCCAGATGAATTAATAATCTTCAGTTCGTTATAATCTTACTTTTATAAAGTGTTATTTGTAACGGACTCCTAGACAGCGAATTTTATTTTAACGATTGATGATGTTTGAGATTAATTGCCAGAGGAATCAATTTGACTTAAAGTGATAAAACTTTTCTGATCAAAATAAGACCTTGGACAACTCTGTATGACCTTCCATCAAAAAGTTACAGGCATTTTCCTAGAGGTTCTAAAATTGAGTATTTCATATACAGAGTTGCGAGAAATGTTTTGCCCGAGGGGTATAGCTCCAATGACAAATGATATCAATATTGAATTTTATACCAAATGAAAGCTCGTGAAAAATGGGGTTAACAGGTATAGTTGGTAATGTGATCGATAGTCATTGACTATAGGTTTACTGGAAATTTTAGGATAGGGAAGGAAACACGACTGAGAAAACTTTTTTTCAGAAGATATTATTTGAAATTTATTTGACTTTAAACTGATAGATTTATTAGTTTA